AGACCTCTTTTGTTACTGGGTTCAGCATAATATATTTATATAGATGTGGTAAATTTTTCAATACAAATACAAAGTTTCGGAAAAAGTTAGTAGGTTCGCTCGAACCCGCACCCACTACTGTACCTCTGCCCCTGTTGGTGCCGATTAAATATGAATTGAAGAAGTTTCACATTAAAAAGGTAAAATGCTCCCAAACAAAATCAACTTCAAATTCAAGGTCCGACCAGAAATCACCGATTAAGAATATAATTTTTGTTGTCCTTTTTGTAAGCTCAACTAGTTGGAAAGTTTATTTTTTGCTACCTCGTAAAGTTGGGCCACAAAAGCAAGTTGTGAGGAAGTTTCTCATATATTTCTAAAGCTGCTTTTGTTGATAAAAATGGGGAGAAATTTAAAAATAGTCAGATTTACAACTGGTCGTTTAAAAATAGCCCAGTTTTAAAAGTAATCAAAATTTAGTCACTTTTCATGTAAAGATAAATCTGAGCGAAAACACTGTTGAAAACCCGGAAAATACGTCAGTATATTATACTGGAGTTCCAGCATAAGTATGCTTGAACTCCAGCATATTATACTGGAGTTCCAGGATAAGTATGCTGGAAATCCAGCATAATATGATGGAGTTCCAACATAAGTACACTAGAACTCCAGCATAATATACTGGAGTTCTAGCAAGTATAATTGTCCAGTATAATATACTGGAGTTTGGAGCATCGGTGCTCCAGTCTCCAGTATATTATACTGGAGTCAGCAAAGTATATCAGTCCAGCATAATATGCTGGAGTTCATACACAGGTGCACCGAACTCCAGTATATTATGTTGGACTGGTCTCTGTTGCAGCAAAATAGTGGCTATTTTTCATTGACTTCGTAAACGCTTGCTATTTTTGAATGACCAGTCCGAAAACTGGCTATATCGTGCTATTTTTACATAAAAATGTGCTTGTAAATATCATTTGGATTTATCCAACCACCCTGTATGCCACATAAATGACCCTAATATAAATAACCTATGATGATATTTGTTATGTGTTTAAGTTTTATGTACTCAAATCAAATAAAAGTTACTCCATTTTATGTGACTTTGCTTAATAGTACATATTAGTTAGTAATTTGAAATAAATGGTAAGTAAACTTTTGTAATAAATTAAATTACACAAAAAAATATAAAAGAATTTTTTTTTACGTTATTGTCGGTGTATATATAAAATAGCCCAGTTTTAAAAGAATTTTTTTTTACCTACCTAATAAAGTTGGAACATAATTTTCAACTAGAATTTTACTTGGTACTATATATTTTTGTACTTGGTCAAGTCTATCCACATCCTCAAATTTCATTATGATTTATAGAAACTTCTTAATTGTAGGACCAGTTGGGATTAAATCCAATACCCCTTGAATAGAAATGACAGAGACATTTCAAATGCCTTATGAGATGAAACTCGGAGAATTTAATAGGGGAAAAAACCCAAGTACGGAAATGCAAATTAGTGAACAGAGATATAGATAACATCAAGGGAATTCTCCAACTGAAAAAATGTGTAGTATTTAAACATATATATAAATGCTAATTTAGAAAATTTACAGGTTTTTTCGTGTGCAAGCGGATCTATAGTAATCATAACTTGAATTATCAATCGTTGGTAATCCATTTTTATTGAGTTGTTTGTTGTGGTCAAAGGTCTATGGTAACCTAATGAATGTGACCTTAGTTTAAGTATATGTTATTTATTTACTTTTCTAATAATTATAATACCATAGCCATGTCATTTGTTAGGTAAAGTCTTAATCAGTGGAATATTGATCTCATCTGAAATTGTTCCAATAATTAGAAAGGATCGAATTTCTAATATTTAATTCATATAACATTATCGAAACTCAAATTTGCTGTTCAAGTAATAATTTATGGCCAGTTTCATTCAGTTGTGTCCATGCTTTCTTATTCACCCAATTATGTAGATGTCGCATGGCAAATTACAATCGCATTTGGCGAAGGGGACTTATAAATCTCATTTAAAATATACTTATAAATCTCATTTGAGCTATGCGTCTTATAATTTTAACTTAAACCTCATTTCACTTACCCGCTATATATGTGACAAATATAATTAGAGTAAAATATCACTTTTTGACAAATTTAATGGTGAAAATAGCATGGGCTAACCGGTATTCGGATTGGTAATTGAAAAGTAGTCAGCGTTTGAAAAGTCATTGAAAAATAGCCGCTATTTTGCTACAACACGGAAAGTTCCAGCATAATATACTGGATATTGGTGCACCTATGTATGAACTTCATGTTGGACCAGTATATTATGTTAGAACTCCGGTGTATTATGAAGAAATTTCACATGTAAAAAATTCGAACTCCAGTATATTATGCTGGAATTTCACATGTAAAAAATTGAACTCCAGCATATTATGCTGGAACATTTTCCGAATTTTGAATAGTGTTTTTGTTCAGATTTATCTTTACATAAAATGTGGCTAAATTTTGATTACTTTTAAAATTGTGACTATTTTTTAATTATCACTTATAAATCTAGCTATTTTTGAATTTCACCCGATTTAATGTGGTCAGAAAGTTTAAATGAATGAGCCCAATAGCCGAAACACGTTGTTGGCAATGAAAAGAAAATTGTTATAATTTAGTATCCTCTACCGCAATATTAAAGTAAAAATAGCATGGGCTAGCCAGCTTTCGGATTGGTTATTCAAAAATAACCAGCGTTTGCAAAGTCACTAAAAAATAACCATTATTTTGCTGCAACACGAAAAGTTCCTGTATAATATACTGGAGATCGGTGCACCTATGTATGAACTTCCAGCATATTATTCTGGAACTCCAACACGCGAAAAGTTCCAGTATAATATGAATCTCCAGTATATTATGCTGGACTGATAGATTATACTGGAGTATTTTTCTGGATTTTGAACAGTATTTTCGTTCAGATTTATCTTTACATGAAAAGTGGCTAAATTTCGATTACTTTTGAAACTGTGGCTATTTTTGAATGACCACTTGTAAATCTGGCTATTTTTTAATTTCTTCCGATATTAAAAGGTAAATTACCAGCTATATCCATTTATAAGTAGCTCATTACAAAAATTGGTCAATTCATAAAATATTACTAATATTAGCCAATTATTTATTTGTGACAAAAAAAAGGTCAAATCTTTGCTTTTTTGAAGTGGGTGTTATTAGAATGGATTGGGTACATCTTAAGGAGCTTGAATCTCAGTTTTGGGATGATTTGGTGAAGTTTTGAGGTGGTTTGAATTAAAAATTCGAAGTGAAAAAACTAAACATGAAAAAAAATGATATGTGTATCACATATGTATCATATTGTATCAATTATTCATCATACATATATCCACATATACTTGTGTGCGAGATACATGCGTGATACATGTGTCGCGAAAGAATTTTTAAACTCGATTTAATTACGAATTTTGATGCAAAACCAGTCCAAATCACCTCCAATCTTCCTCAAATTTTGTATATTGACTTATTTATATGTTTTCAATGAATTTCAGCTATACCCATTGAAAAAGTTCCTTTTTTGCTTATATTTTTGGAATATTGTATATATTTTTTGAATTTCATCACCTTATTTGCTACGTCGTCCATTATATTTCCTTTCCATCTTGCACCTAATGTTGCTAACTTCGCATGTGATTCTTTGAGAGAAAGGACCTTATTTATTTGGTTTTTCAAATTTTATATGTGCTTGGCTAGTTTTGGTAAGTCTATGACTAATGGTTAGAGGTTGGTAAGTTGAGACGATTTTTGGAACATTTGTGTAAGTTTCCCATATTAAAAGTGGAAAAACAGAGAGTCGAATAGTTAGAATTTTAAGAACAATCATGCCCGTTATTTCATGGTTCATCTATAGATAAAGGAGGGTAAAACAAAGAAGCAAATCAGTTAATACAATTCAGGTGTGTTTGATTTTCTATTTGGTTTGAAAGGGAGCTTGACAAGAAAATTGAAGATACAGCAATTAGCTAGCTAAAAAATAGGAACGATCATGGCGAAACAATGACTATTATTCTTGAGGTTGTTTTTTTTGGGCCCCCAAAATTTTAGGTAATTTGGAGCCGATCGCCCAAATTCATGAAGATGGCGTGGACTATAGCACACAAAAATCTGGGAATCATGCTGAATTCCTACTTTTTAGCCCTAAAACGCTAAAAAACGAAAAATAGTCATGGCGAAGCAATGATTATAGTTCCTTAGGTCATTTTTATGGGCCCGCAAAATTTTAAGCGATTCAAAACCGATCGTCCGAATTAATGAAGATGGCGTGGACTATAGCACATGAAAATTTGTGAATCGTGTTGAATTTATATTTTTTTGCCCTAAAATGCCAAAAAAAAAAAGAAAAATGGTCACCCATATGTAGATGCAGTGTGCCTGTTTAGATCCAGGAGGAGTAAGTTGTTCTGTTGTAGCCACTTATGTACCTGTACCTGCTTGAGCAGCCAAAATATTGATATTGGAAAATTGATAATTGGCTGAAACACTCAAAGATGCATATTTGGGGATTCGACGATAAAGATCGGACAACAATCTCACTTTCCTCCTCATATTCGATTTAACTTATGTTCATTAGCTCTGCAAGCAAAGCGGCATACCGAAAAAGTTAGATTATTGATATTTGATGTAGTCTCAAATGGGAAACCAAGAAGATTCCCACCTTTGAAATTATACACTTTTCTGGGTGAAATAATCTTGTTATCTTAGGCTATTAGCAAAGTTAATGAATTTAGCATCACATACTTCTTGTTGTTGTTGTTGCTGCTAGCCTTCTGACATTGTCCCTTTGTCAATATTGATGTACCAAACAAGTTATCCATCACAATTCTAATTCATATCTTCTAATATGGTTTGGTCATTTTACTGACTAACAGATGTTTTTCAAGATAAACAAGACCTAATACAACCATGAGGAATAGTTCTACTTAATGACAAATTCCTATTGAGTATTGTAACGTCAATATCAGTACACAATAATGTAAATTATGGGATCAATCAAACAAAGAAAAGTTCTCTATCTGTATGTGCATTACAATGCTGAGTCACAATCATATACGTTTGTCAAATGCCCAAAATTGGGTATGATACAATGGAGGCATTTGCCTATCTGTTTGGAGGATTCATTAACAAATTAGCATACATTGAACTCTACAAAACAATCTGCATTTTTCTGGACATCCATCTAGGGACACATTTTGAGAAAATGTCAAAAGCTCCTCTGTGTCGTATCACTCGTGCCCACTCTAAACTCCATATCCTCAGCACCTTGTATTGGACACAATCAATGTTCTCTATCTGTCTCTATTTGGCAAGTCGAACACCATCAAAATTCAGTCTCTTCCCACAAGTACAAACTATGTCATGTTGCATTGTATGTTGGTATAAATCCTTTAGCATGCTGACTCTCCATTTCTAGAGTCATCAGCGACTTTTGCCGCTGATACCTATTCCTCTTTGCAGCTAATGCTGTTGAGATAAATTTTGGAAGGTGGAGAGGTGTAGAGATTAGTTCGTAGTCTAGAATAGACAACAGTGCAAACTGAATATCCAAACTACCTTAGAAAGTAAAGTACATATCATCCACCATATCCGACAGGAAAATAGATAATTTCGTGTTAAGAAAATAAATCAAACATCCTTCAATTTAATTTAGTCTAGTTGACCCTCAATAAAAGAGGGAGTAGTTAAATATAAATATGTGTGAACTTGCTATCCCGAGATTTTAGCGACAGATACAAAGTTGACAATGCATATTTCTCTCAGAATGTGATAATACAAATCCGTGACAAAGTGAAATATGAAGGAGCAGAGCCATGATTCATAAAGCTTCAAATATCATACCACACACAACCAACTTAAAGCTCTATCATCAGTCATCAGCCAGAACAAATACTTTTCTTTGATAAGTATATAAGCGAGAACAAATATTACCACAATATAGTTATTAAAAGCCACCTATTGGTTAAGTTTGGATATTTTCAAAGTCAGTGAGGCAGATAAAGAACCGAATACGGGGGACGAATGTTGGAAAACAAGTGGACATCATATGAGATATTATGTAAGTATATTACAGGCAATCTATGACCATAACATCTATGTCTATGATATAGCCATGAAGAAAGACCATATCTATGCTATTCCGTAAGAAAGTACAATTCAGTTGCATAGCTGGAACATATATATATATATATATATATATATATATATATATATATATATGTTTTAGCTGACACAGAGTACTGTGTGACATTCTACAATCTAAGAACTCATATTATCCTGATCATGGGGTAGTTCAATCTTGTTAAACCAGTTGTTAATGCAATTTTACATTTTATTTTAGACTTAATGAAGGAGAATAATGTACATTTGACCTCAAAAACAGGATGTCACATGAAAGTAGTTCTATAATCAGTTAACAGTGAAGCTTTCTGAATTATGGCTCTACTCCTAAGTTCTATAATCAGTTCTATATAACATGTTGTAATGGCCCAGAAACCACTTACACATTAGTTCATGCGGAAGACCAAAGTCATAATCATTCTGCCTCCTCTTGTAGCAGATGTATGCCACGAACAGTACCAGACAAACAAATACTAGACATGATATTCCAATTGCAGCTTTACCAGCTGTAGAGAGACCCTCTTTATTCCAAAATAGCGGACAATCCGGCAAGGTAGGTCCTCCACACAACCCTTTATTACCAGAGAGGCTGTGGAAGCAATATGCTTTCTGTCAGTAAAACAACTAGTACATGAAGGAAGAAACAAAATATAAACCCCTACAAAAGAACCAGTCTTGCAGAATTTTTATCAAGAGAACAGAATAAATGGGGAGTCCACCAAGATAATTAATAATTTGACTGTACTATACTCATTTTCTAGGAGATCTCAAAGCTTACAGTAAAATGTTCTTTTGGTGTTCTACATTTCCTGAAGGGAGNAACCCAAACCCAGAAGGCACCATTGTGTTATGATTTACTCTTCATGTTTAAGACATGCAAAAACAGTTGATGCAAAATAATCTCTAAAACAAGCTACACCATTAATGATTTTAAATCTTTCTTCCCAAAATAATAGTGTTGTTTCCTCGTAGAATTTATTCCTAATATTTATGTCACCAAACTGGTAGTAGAATTCGAACTTTAATATTAATGAAAGCTCAAGTTCAATTAATCATCTGAACTTGTTCGATCCAAGAACAAAAAATTGAGTAATTCCGTTCTATTTTGCAAGTCAGAAATTTTTTTGATAAAAGACACTCCACTACTGCCTCCTCTATGATCTACTTTAATTCCATGAAGCCCTCAAAATACCCCTTCAGCTCCCAAAAAATATTTCCCATTTGTCATATTGAACGCACTCCCACACAGTGTCTTACAATTCATCACAAACCAACTAGCTGTTACAAAGAATTATTTGCGCAAAGTTCAAAAAACCAGCAATTATTCTACAACCCTTTGGATGCTTCCCTTACATGAGCTACCTTCTAACTAAAACCACAAAAACATTCTGACAGGAAAGTAGGTATTTTTAGAAACTAATCAGTCGGAGCTTCTAGGTTCGGAATGTTAAAAATAAATTACAGAGAAAACCAAAAGGAAACAACAACCTTCTTGAGTTACTAAGGATTCCTTGGCTTTACCTAATTAAGACCAAGAGATTGTCCTTTCTTACGGCAACAGATAGCAGGCATGATCAAATATTGAAGATCAAATGAACAAAAGTCTTGATGGCAATAGCGTGACCAGCAAAGTTACTTTTATAGGTCATGAAACAAAAGGGCAAACTCCAATTTAAACCATTTTGCCATGAGGTATTTCTAACAGCCTAAACTAGTAATTAACAGAGGGAGCATCTCAATTCTTGTACTAACGACATCAGCAGAAAAGGCATACTCTTCATCAATCAGCCCTGTTTGTTTAGTAGCACTGATTTGAAAATTAAAAATTTACTAGAAGTACTTAAAATTATAATAAAGGAAGAACTTTAGCCAGATTAGCGCATGACATACTCAATAGCTCCACCATGGACCCCAATGGAAAGAAGTTCCTCCGGCACTAGGCCTTCTAGTTCATTACCGTTCAAATACCTGAGCAAATTTACAGTGGAACTGTTAGAAGTAGGCAGAATATAATTTGAAGGAGAAAAATTTCTTTAATCTGAATTCCAATGATTTACAACCCATATACTTATCCTGCTTTCTACAAACAATCATGCAATAACCAACTGCTACCTCACAAAAACTAAAATAAGCAACAACGAATCCATGAAAAGATTAAGGAGAACAAGAATGAAGCTTACACAAACTGCAAGGTGGAAGAAGCTAAACTATCAGGTATGGATCCGGTAAATTTGTTATTTGACAAGTCCCTGCACAAAAGATTTCCAAATGATGAATTGCAAGCTTCAAATACCAAGAACATAACAGCAAACCAGTTTGACAAAAGGGCACAGCTCTTTTCCCTTTTACAAAAGGGGTTAGCCCTTCAAAAGAGAGAAAAAGGATGGGGTACCCCCAATATAACCTAAATTAGAGAGCACTGAACAAGAATATCAAAAATAGATGAGAGTTTTAGGGAAAATGGAGCAAAAAACACACTTCAATAAGACATAGCTGGGAGGAGTTCAATGTTCAAGCTTTAAAAAGTGACTGTTGTTAGTTCACATAAAATTGATTAACCAAAACTTCAAGCTAAGGCCCATGGAAAAAAGGACCTTATCTCAACAACAAAAAAGGTCCAGAGGATAAAAGGAATTTACAAGTGGTAAGTTGTTAAGCTACTGGCAAGTGTGTGAATCAGAAAAATCTGGCAGGATCGGTGTATTCAGGACTCCAACAACATTCAACAATTTATATAAGTCGGACTTGATAACTCATAGTTCTTAGATGCAAAACACCAAACCATTCCAAGCAAACAAAATTATGATCAAGAACACAGTGCAAATATATGGTCTTACAGTTTCACAAGAGACTTCTGACCCAATCCCCACGGTAGAGAACCTCCCAAAGAATTAGAACTCAAGTTCCTGTTTGACAAAAAGAAAGAGAGGTAGAATTAATATTTGCAAACACAGGTAACAAACAGTAAAAGTGCAGAAAAGAAGTTGGTGCAACTGAAATGATCCAATCGAAAGTATTTATTCATCATGGCATAATAATGAGCATACGCAAATACTAGAATGTCAGTGTATCCGATTTTGTTGAATACCTCTTTAATCATTTTATAAGGACCACTAAGTGAGTAAGTAGAGATACTACACAGGAGGATTAACATGTGAAATTCAGGTATTTAAGAGATAAACTGTTAAGAGGTAAGAAATTGACAGTTGATACTTACAAGCTTACCAAATTAGACAAAAGCCCAATTTGGTCACTGATATATCCCTTTAAGCCTTGGCTTCCAAGATCTCTGAAAGATAAGAACTAAAAGAATCAAGAAGGATATACAGGTGGTGCTTTAGTTGTCACATTGAATTAAACAACAGAAAGTGAAGGGGATATACTTTACGGGGGAAACTTCTTTTCTTTCCTTCTTTGACACACAAATTGAAATTAATGATTACATCATTTGCCAAGTTAGAGGTGAGATCGGCAGGATAAGAATGCTAGAGAAACTGGAGCTGTGGAAAAAAGATCCATTAGTTCAACCACAGTGGTTTCCAAGGGCTCGTGTACTAATGGATCTGAAATCTGAATTAATTCCATGACTTCTTTCCATGGTTTCATTAAGTGAATTGACATACCAACTCAAATGCCTCACCTCAAAATTTCAAAAAATAACTTCCATGGAATTGGGTTCTTAAGCTTGAAACAATATTTTGAAACGTCTTTTCGAGTTAAGACCGCAGAGCACTACGGTATTTAGCCATAGGCAAAAGACCTGCAAGGCATACATTTTCTGCCCCAGGTACTTGCGCAGCAAGTTCTACATTTTTCATTCAACTCAATATCCCATGCTATGCTTCATTGTTCAGAACAGATACAGGGATAATTTACTTGGGCAAGATAGCTGCTCCAAAAACTCCGTCCATTTCTAATTGTGCACTGCGACTCTGTATTGCAACTAGAAGTAAGGCATGGCTTCGTTTCTCGATCTTCTACATCAGTTTTCTAGCAAACCCTAATGTTATCAACACACACAGACACAGTATACATTGTTACTATATCACCCATGCCGTGCTTATCATCACATATTAGTATGTGCCCCTTATCAGATTATGACACGTGCCAAGCTAGCAGTAAAGGTATGACCTCAATTAAGATATCCAAGCATGCTAGACACCAACTACTAGGTCACACATTCTTCCATCGTTATTGAACATGTATCCACGTACGGTAGAGAGAGAAAAGAATAACTTACATTTGGGAGATCACAAGCGATCCGTTCTTAGTTGGATGACATGCAACACCTTCCCAAGCATCCCAAGTAGTAGGAGCACAAGGGTCACCATTCCATCCCATCCTATCCGGAACTCTAAGTGACTCCTTCAACGCTTTCATAGCAATAACTGCAAACACGGGCAAAAAACAACTTTTGCTAAAAAGAACATCCACAACTAACTCAATTACCAAAAATGCACACTATGGCAATGAGTTCATGATATATACTAAAATTTTAGTAAGTTCTATGAATTGACAGTGTAAAAGGCAACTGCAGATAATTCTCTATGCAAACATCAAATTGGTAACCTTAAGAAAACGGAAAACAATTTCTATAACAGGTGAAAGTACATTGATATTGTAAAGAACATACTATAACTTGTCATTTCGGTATACCTTGTTGAGGAAGAGTCCTGAGATCAGGTGGAATAATAGCATAATTTTCAAGTCCACAAATCACGGGAGCGCCCACAACCGGCACAAGCCTCACATTCAACTCAGTATCACTCAAATTCTTAACAACATAACTCCAATCATAAGCAGCAAAGCTCCCAACTTTCTCATAAATATCCACTCTACTCACATTCTCACCATTCACCACCACCTCAAACACCCTTTTCCCAGCTCTATTCACACTTACATCAATCTCAGCAAAATGAAACCACAACAAGTAATCCAATTTCGCGTCCACGGGTAAATTATACTCCAAATATTCACCTCCTTCACCAATTACGGTAACTGCAGTTTGATACAACTTTAAAGGAAAATAATTTGGTGCTTTATCTACATTAACCACATTTTTCATTGCAGAAATAGCCTTAATATGTGCTCCAGTGGTTACTCCCGCAACCTTAGACCTAAAATCGGAGTCCGATTGCCATGACCGGCCGAACCGATCCGTATCGTTACTAAAACCGGGTCCCCATTGATCCGACCCGCTAGAAAATCTACCATAATTGACCAAAATTGAACTATCATTGACTAAATAAGAAGCCGGATCAATTTGCGTGATTTCAAGTGAAGCAATCACGGGCGAGTCAGTGGCAATACTGTAAAAACAAACATCCGCCACGTCATCATCATCGATAGTAAAAAACAGATCGGAGTACGCGCCGGCGCGTGAGATAGATTCGTGCCAAGGGGACCGCCATTGAAAGACGACATTGCCCTCGACAGAGACGTCAAACGACGGGGAATGCGATTTCCCGTCGTAGTTATCGTAGACAGTGAATAGACGGAGCTGGTAACGACCGCCGGCGGGTAAATTTGGAATTGTGTAGCAGTTCTTTTTACCGGAGGAAACGGGGAAGTAACGGAGTGTTTTTTCTTGTGGGTGTTGAAAGTGGAGAGGCTCAGATACAACGGAGGTTGAACCGCCGGTAAAGTAACGGTCGGAAATCCATGACGTATTGAAGACGTCAGTTGAATTTGAAAGACTTCCGCAATCTATATGTAAAGAATAATCTGCAAGAAAAAGAGGGAAAAGAAGAGTTAGTTAAGTTAGTTAAAAGCAAAACAGTTGGGGAAAAATGATGAGAAAATGAAGTTGAAGTTAGTTAAAGTGGAGCTTACTGAAAGGATAGTGAAGAGAAGAGGAAGAAGGAAGAAAGGGTAAAAGGGAGATGAAGAAGAAGAAGGGAGACATATTGGTGTAAAGAGGGAAGAGNGTGTAAAAGAGAGTATGAAAATGAATGAGTTGAAGAAGACTGATTTTAGTAATGAAAGTTAAGCCAAGATTGATGCTTCGATTTCTTGACTTTTTGGGACTACGAAGTAGGGATAGAATGTAAAGCAAGGGGGGAAGGTGGGGGGAGGGAAGGGGTTAGGAATATAACTTATATAACTAATATATATATAGGGTAGGGCAGTCCGGTGTACAAAATATACCGTGTTCAGGTAGGATCCAGGAAAGGTCCACGTACCATTGAGATAACTTTATAGTTGGTTCAGGGCTATGTGTTTGTGACCATTCCTTCATCCTTAACCAAATGTTTCGGGTTTGAGTCTCTGGGTATGAAGTCACCTTTATTAGGGAGTGCTTTACCACAATGTGAGGCTTTCCGGCACGAATCCGAATTTAGTCGGACTCCAATATGGGTACCAGAAACCGGGTGGGAAACTAAAAAAAATATGTGTGTGTGCCCGCCTTTGTACATATAGAGAGAGAATATTTTTGATGGACTACTATAAATTTATATCGCGTAGAACTTATTATACACATCGCACAACATTAAAAGTGTTGGTTTCACAAAATAGAATATCTAATGTTTTTTCACTCGGAATACTTATTGGATTATTGCAAGCAGAACACAATCCGTCATCGAATAGTCTTATTGGAAATAATAAGAATAACATCTCTTAATACTTAAGTTTTATTATATTTGAAACGTGTACTCAAGAAAAGAGAGAAATGTTACCTAAGGGGAAATTGTTCCCTTGTAAATGAGGAGGTTCTTTTTATAAGGAATTTCTCTATTTAAATGACTCGAAATGGAAATATTTGATTAAAGATGAAGGGATTTTAATTTATCCCTCCTACTACAGTTTTGGTAGTGTCTATTTAGTACTTGAGTTGGATATATAGTAATGAGCATATTTACATTGACGGATTTAAACATCCATATATATCATGCGCATAATAAGTTGGAAAAAAAAAATTATGCATGCAAATGAGTTTCATAATGGAGTCAAGTATATATGTTTTACGTGGTCCCAAGGTAAAGAATTTAGGGTAGTTGAAATCGAAATTAGTAATTGCAAACATTTGTTATGAATAAACTAACTTTTTGTTTTATGTGAATTCCACGTTATATTTAGAGCTTGAGATAAAGAATTTAATTAGAGTAGTTGGATAGTAATTACAACATTTATTATGATAAAAGTATGTTCTCTGCATAATTTGAGAAGATTGTGTAATATTTTAATGGGTTTAGAACTTTGTAAGTAGTAGGAGTTAGGGGTGTTCAAATCGAACCGGAAAATCGCACCAAATCGAAAAGTCAAACCAAATCGATTAAAAACCCCGACTAAGTTTGATTTGACTTGGTTTGGTATTGAGTAAAATAAATCCGAATCAAACCGACATATAAATATATAAATTTTATTTATATTTTTAAGACTTTATAGTGATTTTTCTTTAGAAAATGTAGTAATATTTGGGATCCTCTCATGTATTAACTTTGAAAGCATAAATTAACGAAAAATTATTGTTAGACGACTAAGAAAATAACTATCACGCGTTACTAAAAAAATTCTCTCATTAAAATATTTTAATAGATCATATATTTATCAATTTTTTCCATATTTATTAAACATATATTCATTTATCAAAGCTTTATCTATAATTTTAACAAAATAAGATTGAAATAATATTCATGTAACAAAAAAACTTGAAAACCCGACAAAACCGAACCAATCCAAATCGATAGAATTGGTTTGATTTGGTTTTGATAAAAATCGAACTAACTCGGTCCATATATACCTCTAGCAGGAGTAATTGTATTTATGAGAAGTTGATGAGTAATTAATGATTCACGTGAAAGAAATTAGAAGTAAAGGAGGAAGTTGGATCATTAATACGAAAGTAGGAGTTAGGAGAAAAGTACATTACCATATTTTGCCAAATCTGCACAAGGTAACAAGGAACTGGTCCCAAAGTGAAAATTATTGCTTTTATTTCATAGATTTAGATTGGATAAAAGTGATATCTAGTATTTGGGGCTTTTGCATTTATATTCGGTTTTAGGGTCACAATTAAATCTATACTTACTTTGCAAAAAAATTTGCAAGTCTACCCACTTTATGATCAACTTCAAACTTATCGGGTCTGAAGTTACAAAAATTTGTCTGAAGCGAAAAAATTACACTTCAGATGCACTTAAGGCAAAAATAGGTGTGAAGTGCAACCAATAGTTTCATGCACTTAAGGCCAATAAGTCTGAAGTGAAAAATTGCAGTTCATATGCACTTAAGGCCAAAAGGTCTGAAATACAACAAACGTTTTCCTACACTTAAGGACAATAAGTCTAAAGTGAAAAATTACACTTCAGATGCACTTAAGGCCAAAAGGTCTAAAGCGCAACCAAGATTTTCATGCACTTAAGGCCAGATAGGTCTAAAGTGCAAATTGCCCAGAAACAGAAATTTGTTCTTTGAATTTTAATAATCCAATATACAATTTAATACCTAAATCTACTCCAAATGAGCTCAAATTTGAAACACAAGAACAAACCATCAATTTGTTAAAACAACAATAAATCTAACTAACCCATTTTGCAATTAGGAAAAAGAAAAAGAAGAAGCCCTAAGCAATAGTAAAAAAAAAATGTCACAATAACTCATCACTATAAAACATCATAAACTACCTTAAAATATATTCACAAACACCATATAAAATCACTGTAAGAAGAAGAAGAAGAAGAAGAAGAAGAAGAAGAAGAAGAAGAAGAAGAAGAAGAAAGAGGATAAAAAGGCCTAAAATTGTTTAAACACTAGGTATAAGTTAAAGAAAATTAAAAAAAGAAAAGAAAAGTGGGTACATGTTAAATGGGTCACCAAATAAGGCACCCCGTACAATTTTTACTTAATATTTGTACTACCTTTTTGTCGTAATATTAGTTGTTATCTATATAAAAAATAAATTCCATCATCTATTTAATAAGGTGATATATGAATTATGAATTCGGCATATCATGATAAAAAAGGCATCTACAATTTGACTATTTTATCTCTTCAACAAAATTGAACTTCTATGATACTTCATAATAAAACTCGAAATATATTTGGGAATATATTTAACAATAGTAGCTTCATTAATTTATTTCGTTTATATCGAAGATATATAAGATGAACCAATATGCACCTAATCTAAAATTGTTTACCTTGATGAATTTCAAGACTCGAGCCATTAGGATGAGTGTCAGTCGGTTCGATTCGATTGTGAATATTATTAATTCGGCATATCGATTATCTGCTCATAAATATGTTACAATAATAATCGAACCGATAAGATATTGGTTATCAGATATCAGTTAGTCGGTTATTGATAGTTATCGGTTCAGTTATCGATTACTCGATAAGATAAATCAATCCGGAGGGAAGAAGCATAGTGTGTGACACTACATAAAGATGAAAAATTAAAAACAGAATAGTTAATGATCCTTAACCAATTACCAATTAGGTGAAAAATGCACATCTAATCTTGCTACCTCTATTTAAAACACATTCACCTTTTAAAAATATTTAAAGTTTAGTAAGTTTTTAAATAACTCCTCTTATAGTTGGTGTTGTTGCTTCTTCTTCTTCCTCCTATTCAAACGTTTGGATCTGAAGTTTTGAACTCTCAACAACGACAACAAACACAACAGGATCTCTTTGTAAGGTTTGGGAAGGATGTGATGTATGCAAACTCTATTCCTACCTTGTGTGAGATAGGTTGTTTCCGATGAAGTTTTGAACTGTCGACACCAATATATAAGTTTCGCCTATTATCTATACAACGGCCCTAAAAACGACTATTTGTGCACTTAGCCACCAACTAAGAGTTGTTGGAAAATTAGTGATATCTCAGAAGGCAATGTCCATCTTGGTTTGAAAAATCCTTTTTCTTTAAAATATTATGTAAATTTACTTATTATTTAGTAAGTTATTTTACAATTAATAAAGTCAAACTACCCGTTATCTAGCCGTTGGAGCAACGCCTATATAAATATGGTCTTTGGAGAGCTAAAGACACACTTTCTAATATAACTTTCTGAATCATGTTTTCCTCCTATATGCTGGGTTTCTTTCTTGGTTTTTCTGCTAGTTCTGTTCTCAGTTTAATAACTGGAAGAGCTTGTTGAATCCTCGGGGATACGCCTAATTTTATTCATTATTATGTGAGCGAAATATTCTTAAGGATAGTGTCCTTGACTCGCCTCAAGCTAATTATTATTCTCGATAACCAATTTTTCCAACAAGAACAGCCCGATGTATAAAGCATCTCGCGTTTACGTAAGGTACGAAAAAGAACCGACGCCCCAAAGGGATATAGTATAGGCAATCAATATTCTAATACAAGCATTAATAATTTATTCTAGAACAAAAAGATGTGTAACTTATAAGTGACACAGAAACCTTACTATTGCTACCAGGCTCGAGCCCACTAGACTTAATTTCGTTGATACTGAAAGCTAAAAAGATCATGCTAGAAAGGAATTATGAAAGAAAAGGAAGGGGGAAGGGAGAAAGAGACACCGAATCCAAAGGAAGTGGGAATATGTCGTTTTGTAGTATTAAAGATACAAAATATTTAATGGAGCAGCGTTGGAGAGTGGAGGGTCCTGCTGAGCTTAGTTGAAAGTGAAATTGAAAGAACAAAGATAAGAATTATTGGTCCTCGTAAAGTTATTTTCGTGTGATCTATAAGTTATGGGTTTGAACCGTAAAATTAATCACTAATATTTGTATTATTGTAGACGGCCTATATCATGCCTTTTGAAATACGACATTTTCCTCGAACATCGCATGAATACATAATACTTAGTGTACCGGAATGACTTTTTTTAAAAAGATTAGAATTGGAATTTGTGGTGAGGGGGACAAAACTAAGGAGGCAACAGAGACAGCAAAGAATTTCATCATCTATTCATCATCTATTCATCATCATGCACTTCTTTGCC